TCATTCTCTGGGAAAGTAGAATCAGAACTTAGCATACTTCCTACATAGTACTGGTCCCACCAAATACACGTCCAAATTTGGTGCTTCAGCTGGCTGAACCTGTATCTCAGCTACCAATGTGCTATGGCCCCCAAACTCTAAGGATTGATGGTGCATTAGTTGAGAAACCCAGCCTGGACTCTGGCTCCCTGATTACTGTGACTTGCTCTCCCAACCTTTTAAAACTCCTGAGGTAGATGTGGTTTGTCATTAGACCCTGTGAATTAGGGAGTCACCTGAGAGACCACCTTTACAGTCAACTCAGACAAACATGAGGGGAAATAGAGTCACAGAGTTGCCTAATTTGTATTTCTTTAATTATTAGTGAATTTATAGGACTCATATAGTCTTTACTTAAAATTTTTTTTAAATTATAGGACTCACAATTGAGCAAGGGAACAAAATTTATATAACAGTTCAGTCAACAGTTTGCTTCTGATGTTAACACTATAGAACTTCTTGAGCCAATCAATCTGCAAGCACTTCTTAAGCACCTACTGTGTACCAGGCACTGTGCTAATGCTGGGAATCCTAAGAAAGTTAAAAGGCAGTTAGTTACTCATCTTATGGCTCTTAGTTTGATCAGTCAAGAGAGCTCTTTTCCCTTGTCCTGTCACTGCCCTAGTTATTTCAGGAAAGGTTCTTCCTGGGCTGATCAGAGAGAAACACTCTTTTGGAATTGGGATTTAGAGACAGAAAGACTCATATGTGTTTATCTTTTACATTTGTCCAAAGGGAGAGGGAAATAAGCACATATTGAGTGCCTTCTATGTACCAGGCACTTTGCTAAGTGCTTTAGAAATATTATCTCATTTGAACCTGCGAGGTTAAGTGCTATTATGATCCTCATTATATAATCGAGGAAACTGAGGCAGAGATTAAGTGACTTTTTTTATTGTAAAGTGACTTTTTATTGTTAATCCAGATTGTCACTTGCCACTGTCAGTTTGCTGGTAGGGTCACATGGCTTCTGTCAGAGGTCAGATTTGAAGCTCTTGGGTCTTGCTGACTCCAAGCCCAGAGCTCCATCCACTGTGCCACCTAGCTTCAGAATAAGATAGTTTTTAATGATCTCTTAACATTTCTAAAAGAGGGAGCAGAGAAGGCTTTGTCTACTTCCACAGGATGGTAAAGACGGAATTCTTTCTCAGGTATAGGATGAACTAGATACTACTTAGGGATCTAAGGTCCCTTCCAGCTCAGAGACCTACTGATTGTGTAAAGCAAAGAAACCTTTTGGCCCAGGAATACCACTACTAGGTCCATACCACAAAGATATCAAAGGGAAAGAAAAAGAACCCACATGAATGAAAATATTTATAGCAGCTTTTCTGAGGGTGGCAAAGAATTGGAAACTCAGGGAGTTCCCATCAGTTGGGGAATAGTTGAACAAGTTAAGCCATAGAAATGATGTTTTTGTTTTTTGTGAGGTATTGGGGGGGGTTAAGTGAGTCGCCCAGGGTCACACAGCTAGTAAGTGTCAAGTGTCTGAGGCTGGATTTGAACTCAGGTCCTCCTGACTCCAAGGCCAGAGTTTTATCCACTGTGCCACCTAGGTACCCACTGAAGCTATAGAAATGTGACAAGATACTGTTGTGCTGTAAGAAATGGTGAAAAGGTTGATTTCATAAAAAAAAAAAAAACCTTAGAAGACACGAACTGATGCAAAGTGAAATGAGTAGAACCAGGAGAACAATTTCTATAATAACATTATAAATGCAAATGACTCTGAAAGCCTTAAGAGCTCTGATCGACACAGTGACCAAGCAGCGAGGATTCCATAAGGTCTGTGATGAAGTCAGCTGCATACCTCTGGGCAGAAAGGTGATTCACTCAGGGTGCAGGATGAGGCACTTCCCTCCAACTCCACCTCCAACATGCATTTCTGGATTGGCCAATGCAGGAACTTGTTTTGCTTGACTATGAAAAGATAAATAAAAGAGGGGGGAAGGGGAGAATTGGTGGGAACAATAAGACTGCTGTGAATAAAAACAAGAGCAGCTCACGTCTTGTGACTCCAGATCTTGTGTGCTTTCCACTACTCCACATCACCTCCACGACAGCTCAGAGACAATGTTAAATAGAAAGGAGCTGGTCTCCATTCTCTAGTCAATGTTGCTCTCGGACTCGGTGGTCTACAAAATGCTTTCTTTACATCAGCCCCACAAGGTAGGGGGTGCAAATTTCATCATCCGTATTTTATAGATGAAAATGACACTCATAGAGGTCCCAAGTCTACCATCTCCAGAAGTTGCTTTCCCCACCCCCACCCCCTACCATTACACAATACTGCAGAATAAACTTCAGTTACCAAGGAGGGCTTCAGGGGAGGGGTTTTACTTTACAGGAGGAGAGCATTAGGTAAGAATTTTCTAAATGACTGTTTATCATTCAGGAATGGGGCAGGTTGAGTCAGCTGCAGACCATCAAAGCTGCAACCAATTTTTAGTTTTATTAAATTTTATCTGTTTCAGTCATCAAGCATTTAATTTTCCCCTCACTCTCCCCCTGGAAAAAAAAGGAAGGAAGGAGGAAAGAGAGACAGAGAAAGAAAAAGCAAGGAAGGAAGGGAGGAAGAAAGACAAGACCCTCATAACAAATAGGCAGAGTCAAGAAAAACAAATAACCATCAACAATCTGGCATTTCTGAGGGAGGAGGTGGTAGCTCCCACTCCAGCCTGGTCCTAATTCACTCAGCCCCTGGTCCACATGCTTACTGTGTGCTGAATGCAAGTAAGAACCTTTGAGATCCATCGAGTTCCCAGACTATTGTGCGAATTGGTTGTAATGGTCTCATGAAGTTCCCCTGTCCCTGGGTTTACCTCCCCTACTTACCAAGCACGTCAGGGCTAGAGATTTCCTGAGCCACCATACCCCTCAGTGAGATGGAGGAAAGAAGGGTCATGGGGAAGAGGTGGCAGGTGAGACATGACTGGTCGTTGTTACTATTCATTCATTTTTCAGTCTGGCTCTTCATGATCCCGTTTGAAGTTTTCTTGGCAAAGATATTGGAGTCGTTTGCCATTTCCTTCTCCAGATCGTGTTACAGATGACAAAACTGAGCAAACCAGACTAAGTGACTTGCCCAGGGTTACACAACTAGCAAGTGTCTGAGGCCTGGATTGGAACTCAGGTCTTTCTGCATCCAGGCCCTGCACTCTATGCATTGTGCCACTTTGCCACTACATTATGGGTAGATGAGTTAATTCCATCAAGAGTGTAAATAAAGTAAGTAATTTGATTGGCTAGCTGGTGATCACTGCCAAAAAGATGGCACAATTTGGGTAACAGGTGTTCATGACATTGTTTCTCCCTTCCCTCTGCCGGGGGATTGATTGTCCACAAGGGCAGAAAGGGGATGGCGCCACCTCCACATACACTTCCATATGTTCAGAGCAACCAGGGTATGGAGGTCTGGATGTGAACAGAGAATCGAAGGGCCAGTTCTTGAAATACGATTTTACACAATTAGGACACAGGATTGGGGGTGAATAGTGAATACAAATCGGGGCTCAGCTGTGGACATGGGTGTGAAGACACCCAAGCATGACCATAGGTTGAGACAGGTGTGAGTAGAGGTGTTGAGGGTCAAGATGTAAAAGGCTTTCATCAATATTAGCCCCGGCCTTGAACTCCAACTCAGTCCAGATAAGTAAGGGTAGGATCCCTAGTGTTTCCAAGTGGTGGTGAGTGCAGAAATGAGGGGAGATGCTTCCTCTGAGTAAGGAATCTCAGGATCTGCCACAGCCGAGGGTAGCCCCCCCCCCATGCCAGGCCAAGAGATAAGCAGCAGGGTAACACCAGGACATACATCAAGACAAGTTCTTTCCACCTCATTGACTTCATTGTCCCCAGCATCGTCCCAAGAGAGGATGGCCCCAGTTTTTCCACCTAATTAGTCATTAAGGATGTAAGTGGGGCCACCTCAGTCTAGACAGCTGGTGTGGCAGCAGGAGTGATGAGTTCTGGACTGGAAGCCAGGATGACTAGATTCTATTTGTATTAATACTGTAGCGATCTAAGGTTTGCAGATCTCTTTACATGTGTTACCTTGTTTGAACCTGACATCACTTTTTGGTAGATCCTACAAGTATTACTATTGTGCCCATTTTCTTTTCTTTTCTTTTCTTTTTTTTGTTTTTTTTTTGTTTTGTTTTGTTTTTAGACAATTGGGGTTAAGTGACTTGCCCAGGGTCACACAGCTAGTAAATGTCAAGTGTTTGGTCTGAGGCCATATTTGAACTCAGATCCTCCTGACTTCAGGGCCAGTGCTGTATCCGCTGCGCCACCTAGTTGCCCTATTATGCCCATTTTCTAGATGAGGAACTGATGCTCAGAGAGATCAAATGTATTGCCCATGATCCCTAGATCATGGCTAGGATAGAAAGTGGGCTGGTCTAGGAAGTGGAATTCCGATCCTGATCTCTGCTGACCCATTCCAGCACACATGCCAGGGTACTACCTCTCCACTCTTGTCCCTAGTTGATACGTATTAAGGCAAATCACCAACTCCCTTTGAGCCCACGTTCTCCAAGTGTCATTGGTGGCTCTGTGACACTGAGTACCTTACGCTGCCCAACTCCCCTTCCCAACACTTTGCCGTCTGTTCAACTTCTCCATTTTCCTTTTTGTTGCCACTCTAGGATTCCTCATCCTCCCATACACCTCTAGGGCTGCTGGGATGGGAAGTTCGGGATAGCAGAGGTCTACGGTTGTGGGGGAGGGGGAGGGAATAATCCTGCCTCCTCCTCCTCCTTACTTAGTGCTTGACACATTCCCAGAGGTGAAATGATACCTAGCCAAGAGCCAGAAGACCTGAGCCCTGGCACTGCCCCTGCTTCAATGTATGACCTTGGGTGAATCTATTCCCTACTTGGCTGTTTTCCCATGTAAATCAAGGAGGAGAACGGGTGAATTGGACTCTGAAATCCCTTCTAGCTTTGACGATCAGTGTTGCAAAGTAGCGGGCCATAAAGGGCGGAGCGCCAGAGTTAGACTCAGGACCCGAGTTCTCTGCTGACATTCTAGGGCCTCCTTCCCATGGTTGCCCCAGAGTCAGTCCCCTGACAGAGAGCCATGTTGTCACCCTTTCGTACATACCCAACTTTATTGGGAAGGCAGCATGAACACAGGGTGCCCCCATTCCCCTGCCGTTCAGCAAGAAGAGATGGGAAGGAACCAACGAATGGCCTGTCTTCCACTGTCCCCACTCACCCCCCCCCCATGAACCAGGGTTGATCTGCTGGAGGTGACTCGAGCAGCTCTAGCCGACTGCTAAATTTTCAGTGTGCACATTTACGCGTCAGGAATGGGCAAACCCTACAAATGGGAGCTTGATTGGTTGATCATCTAGCCTTAGGAAAGTCATGGAGAAAACATTAATGACTCAGATCCAATTTTAAAGGACTGGATGCGTACTTTTTTTGTCTTTAGAGAGCTGGTTATTAAACATTTACCAGCCCTCCCCTGGGAAGAATCCTGCTTCTTGGATTCTGGCCCTACGACTTTCTAGCTGTGTTGCCTTTGCCAAGTTTCTTGAGCTTTCTGGTTCTCAGTTGCTCCATCTTTAACATGGTCAAAGCCCTTGTCAACAGTTGTTCACGGGGCCTGGCTCCTGCTGGGCATCCCTGAAGGGCTCCAAAGTGGGTTGGGGCAGGAGGAGAGAGCACAGCAGAGAGGATCCTGAAAGCCCAGCTATCCTCGGTGAAGTCTAAGGCAAAAAAGGGCAAGCAAAGGGTCAGAGAGGCTGCCAGGTCCTATCAAGAGTCTGGACGTGCTCCTTAGCCCGAAAACAAAGAGAGACAATGCTGGAGCTTCGAGCGTGGGCATCCCCAGCTTCTGCCAGGGGGCCAAAGGCCTCCCCAAAAGGAGGGGGTCCTGAGGAGGTATGGAGGAAGGCGTGAGGCCCATAGGTGGGTTGTAGACCAGGCCTTGGTCCCAGGAAGCCTGGGAAGGCATGCATGGCTGGGGGACCTGAAGTCAGCCAAGGGTCCAGGGGGAGTGAGGCAGCTGGGGGAGGCCGAGAAAAGGCCAGCATGGGGGCCTCGGGAAGTTTGGTGGCAGCTGCTGCTGCTGCTACTGCTGCTGTGGAGCTGGCCTCCAGCTTCTCTTGCCTTCGCCATTTGGCCCGACGATTCTGGAACCAGACCTAGAAGGATGGTGGAGACAGAAGATAGGAGTCTTTGTGCCTGTTTTCTAGCATCTAAGTGGGACTTTCTGTGGCCCATCCCATATCATCTAGCCTCAGACCAGGAAAGGAGGCTCCCTTCTGCCTCAGGCACCTTTTCCAAGGTTGTCCCAGTCAGGAAAGTTCAGCTTAGCATCAAACTTAACTCCTCTGCTACAGTTCTAACTCCCTGAAGGATACTGGCAATCACAATAGCCTTTTCAGGGAGCAGGGCAGATAATCATGTCACTTTCATCTTTAGGCTCTAAGCTCTTGGCTCTGGATCAGATCAACCCAGACAAGAAACCTCCCAGCCTCCCGGTCCCTATAAGCGTCTGCCTTCCTCTTGGAGGGCTTGGGGTCGGGTGGGAATGGGGCATGGTTGATGAACATGGGGAGAGAAGGGGTATCTAGGAGAGCCCAAATTTCCTCCCTATTACTCTTCACAGCAGTTACCCCAACATCCAATAACGGCTCCACCACCGCCTCAACCTTGGGGAAGTTCTTCGGCATTTCCTGGCCTCAATTTCTCCGCTTCACCAGCTGCCTTCTTACCCAGAAGAAATTTCCACCCTAAGGCTCACTCTCCTGACTGGTGATTCCCTACCCTGGTTCACTATTTCTTGAAGGGCCCCAACCATTCTCATTTCAGTTCTGGCTTGATTCATTCGCCAAACTTCTCTGACTCATTGCCAGTTGCCTTATCCATACCCCCACCCCCACTTTCCAGCGGCTCTATATATGTTGTCTTCCTTTCCTTAAAACGTAAACTCTTTGACAGTAAAAACTGTTTTGTTGGCTTGTATTTGTACCTCTAACACTTAGCACAGTACCTAGAACTTAGTAAGTGTTCAATAAATGCTTTATCTATTTATCTATCTATCTATTCTGTATGATGAGAGGATTTATCTGGATCCAATGTTTTTAACCTGGAATCCACAGACTTCCGAAGTGTCCAGGGAAGATTTCAGTGGATCCATGAACTTGGCTGGGGGAAAAAAAATTACATTTTCATTTTCACTAATATCTACACAAAATTTAACATTTTCTTCAACTATTTAAAAAACATGATTCTGAGAAGGGGGTCCATGACACAAACAAGGTGAAGAACTCCGGCCCAGATGTTGTCTAAGAGGCCTTCCAGCTCTGGCATTCTGTTTGATGTTTTTAAGGTGCTTTCCACTCATGACATTCTATGAGTCTCCCTGCACAATGTCCCCAACTTCTACCCTCTCCTCTCTAGCCCCACCACTGTCTAGCCCCCATCTGATCCTGTCTGTCCCAACTTCCTCCTCAGCAGCCTCCATTTTCTCTTCCTCCAGTCATTCCTGCACAGGTAAGCCAGTCGTCCTCCAAAAACCACACTGCTCACAACCTCCCCAAGCTCACTCACCTTTTGTTGTTCCCACTGTCTACAAGAGGAACCCCAATACGGTCCATCCTCTGGCCCTAATCTACAGTCTCCTCCCTCCCTGCTCCGCTATGAATACTGCGTCGACTGCTGCCAAGATGGGTTCCTCATCCTCTTCTAGGCCCCCTAGGTTCATTCCCAACCTAGAGCTTTTGTTCTGTCTTAGAATCTTCCTGCTGCCCCTTCCTCTCCCCTACTTTCCAGTTCCCTTTTGTATGTTGCTTAACAGTCTTTGCCCTCAAGAAGCTCACAGTAATGAAGAAGATGACATGAAGACAACGGTATGCAGAAAAGATACATACGGGGTAAATTAGAGAGAATCAACAGCAGCATTACATGTAGTCCAATGGGGGAAGACAACTCATTCTGGACTCCTCACTCTCCCTTGCCTCTCTCCCACCATATTTAATCTGTTGCCAAGTCCTGCTGATTTAACCTTCATAACATCTTTCATATACTGCCTCTTTTCTCTTCTGACACTGCTACCACCCTGGGGCAGGCTTTCAATACTTTTCAGTTAGACTATTGAAATAGCTTTCTGATTGGTCTGTCTGTCTCAAGTCTCTCCCCACTCCAGTCCATCCCCTCCTTAGCTATCAAAATAATCTTCCTAAAGCACAAATCTGGCCACACCACTCTCCTATTTAATAAACTGCAATGGTTCCCCATCACCTACAGGATCAAATATAAACTCTCTTTGTCGTTTGTTTTCTTTTTCTTTTTTTTTGGTGGGGGGGGTGAGGCAAATCAGGGTTACGTGAGTTGCCCAGGGTCACACAGCTAGTACATGTCAAGTGTCTGAGCCCAAATTTGAACTCAGGTCTTCCTGACTCTGTCCACTGCGCCGCCTAGCTGCCCCCTTTGCCCCTTGAAGAGGACCATAACATCAGGAAGGTGATGTGGTGACATGCAAGTGAATTGGATGTGAGTGAGAGCGGGCTGTGCAGAGTCACCGGCCTCACTCTCTCCTCTGGAGCCATCTGGGTCCAGTGACAAGATATAGATCAGGACAACCGGAGATGGCTTTTCCAGTCTTCTTACACTTCACTCTCCCTCCCCCCCACCCTCCCAATGCAGTGATGCCAGCTTCCCTGCTTGCTGTTCCTCAAACAAGAGCTCCGTCTCCAGACTCTAGGCATTTTCATAGACTGCCCCCCCATGCCTGGAGGGCTCTCCCTGCTCATTTCTGCTTCCTGGCTTACCTGCTTTCCTTCCAGTCCCACTAAGCCAAAATCCCACCTTCTTCAAGAAGCCTTTTCTGATCTCCCCAATGCTAGCGCCTCCCCCTTAATACCTAGTGCTATTAAGACTGTAAGCTCCTTGAGGGCAGGGGTTATCTTTATTTTTGCTAGTATTTCTATACGCAGGGCTTGGCATATAATCACCACTTAATACCAGTTTGTTGCTTTGCCTATCCACCTACCCAGGGACACTTTCCTGACCCACCCATGACTACCACAGCCCAGCAATATCTCTCTCTTCTGAATTCCTGGCTCAGTTTGTCTTCGCTTGTATCCGTTCCTGTCCTGAGCTCTGATTCTTTCACAACTCTAAGTCTTGTCTCTCACCTAGATTGAGAGCTCCCTGAAGGCAGGATTCAGGGTCTCTGTCTTCTATAGAGGGTGCCCCCTCCACCCCCAACCTGAAGTGCAGGAGAAAGACAGTTAGGACTTAAGCTACTTGAGGGACGTTGCTCTCAGTCTCACCTGCACCCGAACCTCAGGAAGGTTGACCTGTGTGGCCAGCTCCTCTCGGCTGTAGACATCAGGGTAGTGGGAGCGCTCAAAGGCCCTCTCTAGCTGATGCAGCTGGAAGGTCGTAAAGGTCGTGCGGTTCCTCCTGTGTTTCTTCTTGGGGGCCTCTTCTGCTTCCAAGGAGCCTGGGGGCCTTCCCTCAGCTGGCTCCCCCTCACACTTGCTCAGAAACATTGCCCCACCTAAGCATGCAGTGGGAGAAGAGAAGATTAGGTGGGGGAGGGAGAGGAAGGAAGATGGGCAGCCTGCCCCCAGCCCTGCCCACCCCTGGCCTGTCTGAAGAACACTTTGGAGAAAAGAGTCATTATCTCCCTTCCGGGCTGAGCACAGTACCACCCCCTCCATGATGGCCCTCTGGATCAACCCAGTCACTAGTGCCCTCTCTTTCCTCAAATTATGTTTCATTTGCTTACACGTACATATGTCATATCCCCTAGAAGAATGTAAGCAAGCTGGGTGGTGCAGTAAATAGAGCTCCTGACCTGGAATCTGGAAGACCAGAGTTCAGATCCAGCCTCAGCCACTAACTGACTACAAGATCCTAGGCAAGCCACTTAACCTCAGTTTCTTCAATTGTTAAATTCAGATCATAATAGCACCTATCTGCCAAGGTCATCAATTAATAAATTGCTTGTTTCTTTCCTTGAGGACAGGGACTGCCACTTTTTCCTTTTCCTATCCACAGTGCCTAGTATACATAGGAGGCACTTAATAAGTGTGTATTGAATCCTGTGACCTTGGCCAAATCACTTGACCTCTATGGCCCTCAGTTTAGCCTTAAGTTCTAGCAAACTACAAATAGAATCTACTACTCATTCACAATATAATCCTGAACAAGTCACTTAAACTGAGCCTTTGTTTCCCCATTTGTAAAATAAAAAAGTTGGACTCTACAGGGTCTCCAAAGGGCCTTTTTGGCTCTGAGAGTCTAAGGTTCAATGGGATGTTTCTAAGGGGCTGGTCTATCCCCTCCCCCACTGCCAGCTAATCATTGAAGCCCCTTAATAGCCCTTTTCTCTCTGAAGCCAGCTTGGGGCTAAGCTGTTGATCCCACAGACTAGAGATCTTCCAGGGGTATTGAGGCTGGATTAGGGGCAAAGGCACCGCCTGGAAACCTTGCTCAGGCGTTTAAATAAAAACACACACACTCGCTCCTAGGGAAGCCCAGTCAATTGCTGGACAGCTGCAAGTTGTTAGTTCTTTCTTTTATTTCCGCAGATATTCCTCAGTAGGCTAGGTTCTGCATTCTGAGCCTAAATTAATGCCTTGGATGACAGAATTAGGATTCAAAACAATATCAATAAACTAGAATGATGGGTCCAATCTAACAAGATCAAATTTAGGGATAATTATAAAAAACATGCCACCAAGTTCAAAAACTCAAGGGCCCAATTACAGGTTATGGCCTGATGTGGAGAAAATGCTAGAGGATAAGGTGTATTCATGGCCTCAGCATGGCAGCCCCCAAAAGGGAATTTGATCCCGGGCTGCATTAGCAGAGGTGGAGCGTTTATAAAGAAAGAGGCAACACTGTATTCTATATCCAACTGTATTCTACCCCGGTCAGACCTCGTCTTCGTGGTTCTGGGGCAACATCTGAAGGACACTGATAAACCAGAACATTTCCAAAGGAGGGCAGCTGGGATGGAAGGGCACTGGAAAACACGAGAAATTAATGGACCTGGGGACATCTAGCCTGGAGAAAGAAGACTCAGGGGACATACGCTAATTGTTTTCAATTACTTGAAGGGCTATGTGGGAAAGGAATTAAGCTTGTTCTTTATGGCCACAAAGGGAAGAAATAAAGGAAAGAAGCCACAGGGTGAGGGTGGAAGGAAGCTGATTTTGGTTCAATAAAAGAAAATATCTCCTATAAATCAGGGCTGCTCAAAAGCAGAATGGGAAGCCCCCGGAAGTGGCTGTTACCGGAGCTTTTCAGTTATAGACTGGATGACAACTTTTCTAAGAATGGAAAGGCTTGGAGTAGATGCCTTCTGAAACCCTGTCTGCCCCTGAGATCTTGTGATTCTAAAAGCAGATATTTGCTCCCTCTTCCACAGCGCTAGAACTCAGGTGTTCTGGCTCCCAGGCTTTCTTTGCCACCAAATATCTGTCTCCATTTTGCTTTCTAATTCTTTGTCTCTATCTGGCTCAATCTGTTTTCCCTGTGTGTCCATTGTCTGTCTTTCTCTCAGGGTTGTCTTCAGGGGGGCACATTGTTGGGGATCCTGACTCCACCGGGTCCCCTCAAACCATCCCCTTGACACTACTTCCTGCCAGCCACCCGATTCTTCCCACCTCTATCCCGTCTCAGCCACCCCCTTAGCCACATGGCACTCACCAGGAACAGGGGGCTCTTCCAGTCAAGTCTTCCTCCCTGGGACACCCACCTGTCTCTGCAGATCTTTACAGACCCCTGTCTTAAGCCCTTACAGACTAGAAAGCAATGGGAGGAGAACTGGAAGAGAGATTAGAGCCAGTGATTAATTGGGAGGCCTTCCCCTTTAAGGATGACAGACAGCTGCTACCCCTTGATGTCCCCCTGGGTCTAGAAGGTGGTAGGGGGTGGGGGAAGTGGTTAACTGAGTAGAATGGACAAAGGGGAAGTCCTGGTAGACAGGCAGCTTATAGAGTGATATAAGACAGGTGGGAGACTAGAGGAGAGGGGCAGACTTCCTCCATTGTGCCTCCAGTCCCTCTGACTAATGGATGGAAAGCCATTAGGGAGCATGTCAATCACAGTATCTCAGAGTTGGAAAGGGCTGGTCTGTGACTAGGAATCCTTTCTATGAGATCAGAGCCCAGGGTTCCTGAACCTCAGTCGTCCAAGGACCTAAAGCAGATCACCATGGATAGATGGTCTTCAAGACTTGCTGAGCCGACACATTTCATCCCCCTGAAGCCACCATACTGCACCTCTCTGAATGTAGCCAGGATGGTCTGGCATGGTCCATCACTGCCTTTCCTTCTCAACACGACTCACCAGAGTTTGTGCTCCGCTCATCTGGCCTTGGAGAAGCTAGGGTGCTTGCATGACTCGAAGGATGAGGCATTAACCCCAAGGGAAGTTAGAGAAGGCAAGGAGGACTTTATGTGAAGCAGTCACACTTTACAGAGGAGGAAACTGAGGCCACAGAGATTCACCTAAGGTCACTGACGAGTTAGTAGCTAGGCCAAGAGGCAGATTCAGAGATCCTGACATCTCCCGACCCCCAACCGCCTTGAGAGGCTGCATTCACTACCTCCCACTGAGACCACAGATGACTCCAGCAGCCTCCCCAAGATTTGGACAGGGAGGACAGGGAGAGACTCTGGAGAGATGGGCTTAGGGTCTGGGACCCAGATATTTGGGAGTTACCCTCCTATAGTGCAAGGCCAAAGAGAAACCTAGGTAATTGTTTGCCTACCTCCATTATGTGTCTCCACCCCAGATCCAGGCCTCCAACTACCCCAAAGAGCAAACCCAGGTGCCTAAGGCCGCTTCTATCTTTACTTCTCCACTGCTCAGCACTGCCTGACAGCCAGCATTGTAAAACACTTGTCGGTTGAAGAATAAACAGGTTTGAAGGTTTGTAAAAGATTTCCCCAACAACCAACCTGTGGTGTGGATCGTGACAGGTGGTGTTATTATCCCCATTTGACTCATGAAGAAGCTGACATCCAGAAAGAGCTCTAGGTCACATAGCTAACAGATTATCAGGGCAGCATTCAAACCCAGGTCTGACCACCATGCCATCCTCCTGAAGGAGGAAGCTTGGACTTGGGTAGCATGCACTGGGCTGTGAGTCAGGAGACCTGGGGTTTAGTTCTAGCATGCAAGCCCAGGCTCTCGCGTCTTCTTCCTTTGACCTCAGTTTCCTTCTTTATAAAAGCAGGCCTATGTGATTTCGACTGTCTCCCTTTCTTGCTCTGACCTTCTGTATCCACAATAGCCCTTGCCAGTATGTCCAGGCTGACAGTGGAGATAGTGGTGGAGATCAGAGCAGGCTGGGAGAGGGAGGGGGAGCCCCCTCCATAATTACCCTCCTTGCGAGGCCCCTAATTGCTTCATCACTTTAAAACATTAACGAGCTTCATCTTTACAAGTCTCCCAATTACACTAATTGGCCACAAATTGGTTAAGAGGGCAGGCTGGTAGTATCAGGGAGGGTTAAGGCATTCTGTAGCTTTAGCCCCAGCCTGAGCCTCTTATGCCCTGGAGGCTGATGCTCCCAGACAGCTGTGTCAGCTTAGAGGCCTGGAGGGGGGGCAGGAGAAAGGCCAACCCACAGATTATTGGGCCCCTGAAGGACAGGGGACAGGTGACCCTTAGGCTGTGCTCCAATAGGCAGTGGTGCCATTCAAGCTGGGGTGCAGTGCTGTGATGGCCCCTCATTTGCCCCCAGTCCTGACCCCAATCCTCTGGGCTTTCTTCAGAAGGAGCCTCAAGGTTTCCAAAGGGAAAGCGAGGGCATGGTTTATGTCTTTCCAGGTGAAAAAGATGGAGAAGGGCCTCCTTTGAAAGATTTAGCAATGCTTAGGACTTTAGGAAGACGTGAGACCTATCTTTTAGGTATTGGAAAGATTATCCTATGAAAGAAGGAGAAGGCTTGCTCTGCTGGGCCCAAGAGGCAGAACTTGGGGTGAGGGGGAGTTAAAGGAAAGACTTCCTTAGAGCTGCTGCTACTCCAAGAGGAATGGGCAGCCTCAGGAAGCACTAGGCTTCCCTCCTCAGCCTTCCAGTTGCTGGAGACGCTCCTTGCTCAGGTGCAGGGTGGATAAGGCAGCCTCTGAAATCCTTTTCAACTCTGGGATTCTGTTTCCTAGAGCCCCAGTGAGCTCCTCTCCAGCTCATCGCACTGCATCCAGCTCATTCCAAGGCCTGTTCCGACCCACTGGCTTCCAGGAGCTCTGGGGGAAGTCACTGCATTACCTTCCCTGGGATGAGTTCCAGAAGGAAAGAGAGCCCTCCTTTGCTAGATCACTGTGGGTACGGGATCCAAGATATCTGCTAGTCAGAGGGTGGTGGGATCCCATGAACAGATCCTTTATCAAATTAGACATGTGATCCCAGATCAGATCACCAGGAGGGGAGCAGATCTCCATGATAGGATCCTGGGAGAAGATTTTCACCAGGAAGATCACCATGGGTGCAGGATCATGGAAAGCTGTGATTCAGGGTAGATTCCAGGAAGATCTTAGGGAAGGGATGGACGTTCCTGGTGCAATACCAAATATGAGAGCTGGGCTCCAGACAAAGGGATCCTGCACCAAGCTGACTATGACAGGTGTAATGCAGTAAGGATCTCTGCTGGGGAGGTTAAGAAGGGCAGGGGACAAAGAGACACAGAAGCCAGTTCTCAGAATAATAAAGCCTCCATGTCCTTTATCGCCTTCTCCCAGGTTGCCAGGGCCCTCCCTTGGGCTTCTTGATTTCTATAGGCCATCTGGGGACATCTCCACACCTACATCCCCTGGCTATTCCCCAAGTAGGCACTGCCAGCAGAGGAATGACTGTAGTCCAGGGAAACTGAGGCCAGATTGCACCAGAAACTTGAGGAGGGGGAGGGCACGTATCAACTGTAGCACAGCTCTACATTCCCCACCCCCCCCATGCACTCTCCCACCCAACCCCAGGCCCCTTTTGGGTGTCTCTCTCAGCCCAGGAATTATCCAGGGAGAACAAGAGATAGGAGGAGATATTTTGACATTCTCCAATCTCCCTCCAGTCCCCAGTGGGGTTGGGCTGGGCAAGGCCCTTGGAAGTCCTCCACTTTATCCTACAGTCTGGTGTGCAGCCTTGGGGGCACAAGGGCCAGAGGTTCAAGGTTCCTGGAGGCTTTGGGGTCCAGCTGAGCTTCCCTCAGGGACAGGCTCTGTTGCTGTGTTCCTCAGCTCCTTGGCCAGCTTCTCCAAGAGTTTCCTGAAGGCTGGACGACGAGTTGGCTCCGCCTCCCAACAGCTGCCCATGAGGGCATAAACACTGGCAGGACAGCCTTCCGGGGGCTGCATTCGGTAACCCTGCTCCACAGCTTCAGACACCTCCTTCAGAGACTGAATTGGGGACAACAAGAAGGAGACGTCGAAGGATGCTTGGACTCATCCTCAGCTCCATGGCTTCTCCCCCAAACCCCAATCTAGGCCTTCACTCTATCACTGTGACCCTGGAATATCCCCGCCCCCCACTAATTCTGTCCCTGGACTATACTTACTCTCTCTCACACACACACACACACACACACACACACACACACCCTCTCTCTGTGATTCCAGGGTTCCCCCATCTAATCCTGTCCCTGCCCTGCCATTGTGAACTTGAAGCTTTACTCTTCCCCAGTATTCTGGCCCAATTGATCTTAGGGCATACCTCACTGCTATGCTTACCATCTTGGGGTACGGAGCTCGGCCATAGGAGAATACTTCCCACAGAAGGATCCCAAAGCTCCAGACATCTGACTTACTGGAAAATTTCTGCAGGTCCGGATTGGAAGTGGAGGACCGGTGAGATGAGGGGAAGACTATGGGATCCCTTGACCCTAGACTATATATCATCAGGGAAGGTCAGGGCAGGGAGAAAGACCTTAGAGGGTGGTGTGTAGAAACAGGAGGAGGGATCTGGAGGGGAAGGAACCTCCCTTGCATGTGTCCTTCTTCACATCACACCCTCTGTCTATTGGAATTCTCCCTGAAGTCTCAGCTCAAGTCCCACATCCTCCAGGAAACATGCCCTGATCCCATTCCATCTAAAGGATTTCCCTCCTCTGGTCTCCTGCCACTCCAAATCTACCACAGATCTGTCCAGAATAAAAAAAGGCTTGGATTATTTGGTGTTTTTTCTCTGAGTGTCCTGTATCTCTGGTGGGACTGTGAGTTCCCTGAGTGCAGAAACCGTGTGTCTCCTCCATAGCAAAGAACACACTAGGCTGGGTACAGAGAAGGTGCTCAATAAATGCTTAGAATAGAATGTCAGGGCTGGGAGGGCCCTTAGAACATTAGAGGTCTGAGCTGGGAGGACGCTTAGAACACTAGAGGTCTGAGCTGGAGGGGCTTTAGAACACAAGAGGTCAGAGCTGGGAGGGGCCTTAGAACACAAGAGGTCAGAGCTGGGAAGGCCTCAGAACCCAGAAAGTCAGAGCTGGGTGGGCCCTCTAGGACACCAAATGTCAGAGCTGGGAGGGCCCTTAGAACAGATAATGTTCGATTTGGGAGAGGCCTTAGATTATAGACAGCCAGAGAGGTGGGAGCATCCCTAGGACACAGAATGTAAGAACTGGGAAGGTACTTAGTCATCTAATTCAGGTGATAACAATTTTCTCATTAAGAAATCAAGTGACTTGCCCAAGGTCACATAGCATGTCAGAGGAACATTGTGATGGGGCAGCGGAAAAAGGCTAATAAGATGTTGAATTGCAACAAGGGCCCTGACTTCCAGAAAGAAGGGGCTGAAGGTCCTGCTGTGCTCTGCCATGGTCAGACTAAATCTGGGCTGCTGTGTTCAGTTCTGGGTACCACGGCTTAGGTAGGCTACTGATGAGCTGGAGAGTGTCCAGAGGAGGGCATCCAAAATGGGGAAGGCACTTATGTCCATGCCCCATGAGGACTAGTGGAAGGAGCCAGGGATGTCTAACCTGACAAAACTAGGGGGGAAGGGGAGAAGAAGGAAAGCTGTCTTCAAGTATTTGAAGGACTCTCACATGGAAATGGGGTTATTAGGCTGTTCTGCTTGGCCCCAAAGATCAGGATTAAAAGCAGGGAGTGTGAGAGGCAAACAGGTAATTTAGGCTTGACTTTAGGAAAAAACAAAAAAACCCTCACCAAAGAGCTTACCAAGTGTAATGGGCTGTCTCTGGAGGTAGTGGATTGGGTCCGAAGGGGGTTGGGGGCTTTAAGCAAAGGCCAGATCACCACTTATCAAGTATGTTGTAGTGGGGATTTGGCGGGGTATGAGTTCTTTGGGGTGTACTAGATAGCTGCTGGGGTCCCTTCCAACTCTGAAATTCTAGGACTTTCAGCTGAGGGCTCACCTAACCTCCACCCCCACTCCAATGGCCCCCTAGACAGCTGACTGATCCTCCTGATCCCCACCCCTTCTCACCCCATGTCTCAAGGCCTCAGGTGCAGTCCACTTGACCGGGAGTCGGCTGGTATCCAGGCCCCTTCGCTCAGCCTTAGCCAGTCCGAAGTCGCTAACCTTGGCCACATGGTCCTCAGAGATGAGGATGTTTCGGGCAGCCAGGTCTCGATGTACAAGTTTCTTACCCTCCAAGTAGTCCATGCCTTCGGCCACATGTCTGGCTCAGAAAGTGGGGGAAAAAGGGGTCGGGGATTAAGAGTAAGTTTTATACCATAGTCTCCCATGCCCTGGTCCCAGCACAAGGCACAAACACACTGAAGATCAGATTATTAAAATTGGAAGGGCCTGAGATTCCATTGGTCCATCCATCCCCCCTCCCCCCACCTCCCATTTACCCCTCCCTTCTCCCCCACCTCATTTTACAGATAGGTAAACTGAAGCCCAAGGAAGGAAAGAGTCTTGTCCAAGGAGATGACCATAATAAGTAACAGAGCAGGGATTAGACTAGAACCCAGGTGCTCTGACTTCAACTTCAGCACTCTTTGTACAATGTGCCACTTCTGGGGCCTGGCCTGCCTTGCCCCACAGTTCCCTGGGGACTCAGAAAATGTCTGTGAAGGTTCAAGCTCCCTTCCCCTCACTTACAAGGAGAATTGCAGCAACTGAGCCTTGTGTACCAAGGCACGGCCCCTCGTCCGAAGAAAATTCACCAAGTTCCCCTATGGAGGGAAGATTGGGCAGAGGAGGGGGGTTTCTATAGGCTGTGTTGCTTCCTTCCTTCCTTCCCCAATTCTTTCCACTTCCTCCCCCAAATCCTGAGTTTCTCCACTCCCCTTCATCTTCCCTCTATCCTCCCCCTTCCATTTCCTTCCCCTTTCCCTGAGTGTACTTTACCTCCTCCCTCAATCCTCACCCCTTCCTCAAGTCCTTTGTGCCCCCTCCCTCAAATCCCTCTATCCTTTCTTCTTCTCCCATTCATCATCCTCCTTCCCCAGATCTCTTCAGCCCCCTGTCCCCTCCTCTAGATTCCACCATCCCCTTTTAGACTGGTTCTGGGATCTGAGCAATGGGGAAGACTGGGTTTCGAGTAGCCCAAGGAAGAGTGGGGTAGCAATGGGGAGAGAATGAATAAGCTGGGAAGAGAGCAGAAAAATTGGAGGCATGTGCCCTCCCCAGAAGAGGGATGGAGAGGACAGAGCTCAAGCTGACCTTGCTCATGTATTCCATGACAATGTAGAGCCCTTGGTGGAGAATGACCCCCAGCAGCCGCACCAAGTTCTTGTGCTGTATCTTCCTGGGGGTAGATTTGAAGAGGGATGGAGGTTGCGTGCATATGAGAGAGGGGGTGCCCACAACACATCCATCCTGGGTCCAACTCTCATTTTACAAATGACAAAACTGAGTCGAACGGACTTGCCCAAGGTCACCCAGTAAATGAACAGGGCTAGAACGCCCAGGTCTGGACATGGACTGGAGCCCAGGACTCACTCTTCCCCATAAGGTCCCTTCCAGCTGAGGCATTCTAAGACCCGAATAAACCAAACACACCTGAGAACGTCCAGCCCCTAAATGTTGGCTTCATTTGCTTTGCCCCAGAGCTGGGAGCCACCTCCTCCCCCACGCCCTGGGACGTTGTCGGGGAAGGAAAAGGTGGGGCTTCTTTCCACGCCTTCCAAGTTGGGTCCTGAGCCTTACGTCATTACAGCTGTCTCATCCAGGAAGGCCTGGGCGGTGACGTCACATTTGATGTTCTTCACTGCCACCTTCTGGCCCAGGTACTCCCCCTGCAACACGGCTGGGACAAGCCCACGCCCGGGAAGGTGTCTGAGCCTTGGCCTCGGTCCCATCCAAGCCCCCACTCCCATCTTCTCCACACGCCAGAACCTTTCCCCCACCACAGTCTACGTCTCTTTCAGGCTCCGGGGTTGGGTTTCTTTCCTGAGCTCAGACTTTACTGAATTTCTTCAGGTTTTGGTCTCCCCTTGTGTGTCACAGCCTCTGGGACCAGCGGTGTGTGGGGGTGAGGGGCAGGGGTTCCAGGGAGAGAAGCTGAGTGACCCTTAGTGGAATTACCGCTCCCCTACCCCCCCCTTTCCTTCCCACTTACCTCCAAACTCCCCCT